AAGCACCTCAAGAGTATCTAATTCAAAGGACACATGGCACTCTCTGGAAGAAGTAGGAAGAAGAAATGTACAAAGCTGTGAATGTTGAATGGGTAAATGTTTTATTTATCACATTTGTATATAATCACACTTAATATAGAAGTTGTAAAAGTGAAGTGAAACATGTGGTAATTGAAAAAGTATAACATTTTGTCGGAAATTATCACAGATTTACAAAATTTTAATAGAACTAGTAAATTAAAGTAAAAAAACAAACAAAACAACAGTTGATTTTTTTAAACAGAATTTCATTTTAACTGTGCATATGTAGGCACTAAACTCAACAATTCATAAATGATTTTGATATAATCAAATCTAAAGTACCGAAGGACAAAAGTATCAAAACAAATTTCACAATTCCATTTCCATGTCAGAATATGTGTGTGCCAAATATTCTGGCAATTCCTTTTTGAACTGTTCAACAAATTCTTCAAAGCCTTCCATGAGACGTTTCACTTGGTCACTTAACACAACAACTTGTTTTCCTCTCTTTTTCACTCGGGTATCTACCAACCCCACCTCAAAAACATATCTGTAAGAATTCGAACTAAAATTAGTCCAACCAAAACTCACTGTTTCATTCTGTTGATTTTAAGTAAAATTTTCAGCTCACCTGTCTAGGAATTCAAATGTGAGACTAAGTTCTGGGTACTCCAGGTTCAGGCAGAAGCACAGTTCAAACAAAGCAACAAGTGCTTCTTTGGGGTTGCTTACCTCCACTAAATGAACCTTGTCGGCACAGACATAATATGCTTTTGCTGCATATGTGTTAGTATCTGAAACAAAAAGTGAGATGAAAGTAATGTATTCCAAAAGACTCTTGTGTTGTTTCTCTATGCATTTCATAGAAAGTAATGATAAAAATCTAAAACTTTTATTTCCTTTTATTACCTTGACCCACTACACATGGGCCTTGGATTTCCTCTAGGTGTTCCCATCATTTGCAAAGGGCCTATAGTTTTTGCCGTTCAACTCTTTGAGGTCTATCTTACTTATCTGGTAGACATACAGTTTTTTGAGGTGGACTTCATAGCCAACACAAAGTGAGACGCTTCCACAGACCCTACCTTTGAGTAGCCTGCGAGTTCTGACTAACAACCCTGGTCCCTGGTGAATAGGATAATGAATGTCGCTGCAGTTCAATATTATCAGCACGTTTCTGATTAAAACACATGATTTCGACCAGAAATATCAGGCCAACAAATGATAGATTTTCAACTTTCAAACTCGACCGAACAGAACCGGTACTGCATTTCTGTGGACATTCGCCTCTTTGTCAAAGTGTTCCTTAGACATACGCCTCTCTGTCAAAATGTTCTTGGACATACGCCCCTTTGTCAAAATTT